CCCCCCCCCCCCCCCAAAGCAATGTTGGTGCAAAATCTCCAGAGCAGAGTTAAGATCTCATTACCACTGACCCACAGAATACACATTCCAGAGCAGTTCTGCTCTGCAGCGCATTACCAAAAGAGTGCCAGTTTAGGACACACTGATCCAAGCATGCTCAACTTAAGGCAAGCAGAAATAATGAAACTCAGCATCAAATAAAACATCAGTTCTCTTTTTCAGCACTTTCTAACACTTAAAAGTTAAAAGCCATCTTCCTAAGTCTACCTAAGCTTCTCTGAAGTCCTCCAGCTATCACTGCTTATCTGCTTTGCTATAACTTACACTGCTTCATCAAGCACCTCCAGATCACAGTTGTTCCAGTTTAGGTTTCCAGCCTGAGGGAAAGAATTATACACTGTTCATTTATGAAACTCTGTTTTACTAAGGTCTTCATTCACAGTTTAATTCCCTCATCAGTATTCCCTGAGCACACTAAACCCTTTCAGTACTGGTAATACCTGCATGCACCAAAACTGAGGAACTGTGGCTTAGAGCAGCTTTTAAATTTCAGCTCATTTCCTTCTCTTGCTTTCAGCTGACATCCTGAGTTGTCCTGTTCTCAAATACTACCAGCTTGCAAATACTGTATAGGAATGAGTTTAACAGTGTAGTTCAGCTACAGTAAAACTTTTTGCCATTCCTGCATTTCATTCAACATTAAGTTTCTAGGTGTGCTTAGATGGGAACAACAAAAAAGCCCAAACAAAGAAAGATGCATAGATATCGGACAGGGTCCACAGGATCACCATGAATATGATCAAAGGGCTGGAGAACCTAACTTATGAGGAAAGATTGAAGGAGTTAGGTCTTTTCTCCCTGGGGAAGAGAAGGCTCAGGGGGACCTCATCACATAATTCCAGTACCTAAAGGGCATCTACAAAGAGGATGGATGGCCTCTCTTGAAAAGGAGCCACATGGGAAGAACAAGGGGAAATAAGTACACATTGCACTGGGAGACATCTCGATGCAACACAATTTTTACAGTGAGAACAATCATTCATTGCAACAGCCTCCCCAGGACACAGTACAGTCCCCATCACTGAAGCTTTTCAAGATGCAATGGGACAGGCTGCTAGATAATCGCATCGAGGCTCCCCTTCCCACAAGAGGTTGGGCCAGATGATATTTTGGGCCCCTTCCAACCTGGGCTGCTCTACGTTTTGACGATTCCAAGCTACGAATCCGCAATCCTGTAGTGGCATATCTCAGAAAACTTATCTCCTTTGTTTTCTGACAATTTTACTGCAGCACAATTATTTCAGCTTCCAGCACCATCTGAAAATCAGTGTCCTAAAACCAAACTCTACAGACAATACTTCTGATAGCTCTCCCATATTTATCACTCAAAGTTTGATGTAACTATCAGAACCCATTTTGTCTTCTTGCACTGCTTACACCTGCTTTTTTCTGTCCACTCCTTAAGGACTTCCCTATTTTACTGGTCTTCCTGATAGCTTGTATTATAAAGATTTCAATCTTGTCCAATTTCACATGCTAGCTAGAAGATATGGATGTATAGACCTACTATAAAAAGTTATTTTCTTAAGAAAATTAAACTACCTTAAACAAACCAGATTGCTGATATCTCAGTGAATTCTCCATTTCACAGCACAAAAGTAAAATTGTCATCCCCACCACAGCCTGAATCAATTGCCATATCCCATTATGTATGATATGGCTACTAAATAGTTCAAACCCAAACAGATGAAAAGGTAAGCAAAGCTCCTGTCACCAAAAGAGGGATTAGTTCACTGGTTAGTGCTCTGACACCACACCAGTGGCTGCAATATCCTAGTTCAGTCTCCACGTGCAGAAAATGTGTTATAGAGATTTGAGTGATCTTCAAAGATAATGGCCAAAAACGACTTTCTAAACTTTGTCTGAAAAGATTGACTGCCCCTGCCTCCAGTTCTGTACATCAAGAAACAGGTACTAAAGACATAGGATTAGTGCAATTAAGCCATTTAAATTTACCTTTGAACAGCAGACTGAAGGCTTGGTGTACCCTCTCTGACAAACTACAGAAATAAATCATTCAGGTTTGCAGCCTGGTTAACATATAGGGACACTTCATAACAAGTCTAAATATTTCCTCCTCTCAACAGGGATCTCTTGTATCTTTCTCCTGTTATTTACACCCAAAAACTGTTTTATAGATGAAAGCAGATGAAGATCTGAAATATCAAGACCAGTTATACATCCTTGACATAAATAGCATGCTTCAATAACAATGTGCAATACAGTTAAAAGATTTCACATGGCATTTCTTCTGTCTCTAGAAAACACAGGTGCATAATCTACAACTTATTGAAGGAAAAAGAAAATCCTTTTCTTAAAGGAATTTTCAGCTACTGCTATCAAGACAACAGACACACTTACATTGCAAAATCGCTAAAAAAATGTTCTACTAAGGCCATATCTTCTACAGCAAGGACAGCATTACATACCTTGTGCAAGCATGTTAAACTCCAGGAACAGTGCTATGTGATAAAGCTCCATAGCTTCTTCAGCCCTAGTCATGTTTAGTTTTCCTGCTACAAGAGCCTGAACTTCACTTAAACTGCCCACTGAAGGGCTAGAGTGCAAAACTGAGAGGTCCACCACGTCTGTATACATACAGTTCAAAATGACCTTAGCATATTTTTTTGGTATGATAGATTCATCCAATATAATTCTAGTTGGAGTTCGTAGAGTTCGATCTGTGATTTCTTCACCAGTTCGTATCCTCCTCTGCAGCAAGTGACGAAAAAATGGAGATCGTGATGAAATAATAGCTTTGTGAGCTCTGAGCTCTTCTTCTAGACAGCTCTGACTTCCACCAAAAGTTTCAACTAAGTCTGAGTTGGATGAAAAGCTAAGAACCACATCATAGTAGCACATGTAATCAAACAGTGCACGCATGTCAACATCTAAGGAATTTGGTGTTCCAAACTCTTCGCTAAGCTGCACAAGGATATCAACATTTTGGAATCTTGAATCCTCCATTCCAAACTCTCCTGTATAAAGGTAGTGTAACAAAGCAGAAAACATAGGCATATCTATGCCAGCTGTGTTAATATCCATTATTATTTCTGCCCCATATTCCGGCGAGGAAGAAAGCAGCGTCTTAAAAAACGGGCATCTTGCCGCCAGTATCGCACGATGCACAGGGAAACAGGTTTCTTGAAATATTAAGTCTACATCAGTACAATATTTGTACTGGTAAAGTTCAGCCATGTCTTTTTGTAGCGTCCTGGCTTCTGGTCTTGCCAAATTAGCTTGTAGATAAAGTTCCTTTAAGGCTGACGTCCCTTCGTATTCTTCTACTAACGCATTAACGTCTCTGACGTCCCAGCCTGAGAGGAGTTCCCGCATCTGCTTGGCATGGTCAGCAGAGCGGCTCGACTTCCGGCGCTTGATGAATTTCTTCTTGAGGGTGGCAAGGCCAGAGGTTTTCTTTTTCTTGTCTTGAGGTTTCTCATGGCCATGGTCAAGGCTATACAGCTTTGATTCGCAGCCATAACCTTGATGAGAATAGGATGATGTCCCTGAAGGCAAAAAGGAAAGTTGAACACATTTACTTACATTTAAGAGGAAGCTCTGTAACACCTAATCAGTCCATCAATGCCTCTGCAAATTACACCGGTTTTCTTTCTCACACACTTTTCTCACAATTCTACAAATTAGAAATCCAACTTAAGCTTTTTCTGGACATTAAGTGCAAAACTAATTTTTTTTTTTTTTTGCATCTATAAAGTTCATATTTTAAAAAAGAAATTATAGCAAATTTTAAAAAACAAAGAGTGCCAAGTGATTCAGCTCTGTGCCACATGGAGAACTTACTTAAGCAGGAAGAGAACACTGTGGTTATAATGTTACAAGCGTCATTGTATTAACTATAGGAAGTAAAAAACACAGTCTTTTAAAAAACTTACATGATCTCAGTGAAATAATAGCACCTCCCCCTTCAAAGTATTTCTCAAATTCTGTTATTCTAGCATTAGGTGTTGTTTGATCAAAAAAAGCATTGCTGGCATCAGACAGTTATCACAGACACAAGAAAAAAGGAAAAAAGAGAACACCGTACCAAAACATTCAGGGAAATTGAGGACAGTGAATTAATTTTCAATGCAAATTTAACAAGAAAGTAAAAATCCTGTCAATCAAGTAATGCCAAAAGTCAAACACGTAAAATTGGCTCCTTTCCACAGAACTATAGATGCCAATTTGTGCATACACCCCATTTAAAAGAATATTGAAAATATGTTTTAATCTGTTATTAATGTCCTTTGAACACAGCATTATACAATTAAAGTATACATCATTTTCCCCCTAAAAAAATAACTTATAAGGATGTTATGAACCAAACATCATGAAATGAATAAAGGGATTCCCCTCAATGCTATCTGTGTGACATGCCCGACCTGTTCTGCCAGATGAACATTTCTCAACTGTCAGTTTGAGCCTAGCTGCACATACAGTAACATTGAGTGTAATTTAGTAAGAAAAAGAGGAATTAGAATCTGAATTCCTAGAAGCAGTGGAAAACTGAAGTAACTTGTTGCCTTTTTAGGCAAGTTCAAAGCACATCCAACCACCAGAGTTATTGGGGCCTTTTATAACTTGTTCTATCATTGCTCTCTCACAGTTCCATTTGTTTCATGTAGATTTGATGTGAAGCTCTTTTGACAGCGATGTTACAGGCCAGACTGTCAAAATACAGTGTTTTAGACACAATGTTATTTCAGGTAAGTATTTCTTGAACTTTGAAATAATCAGGTATAACACTCAATATAGGAGCAATTGAAAGTTGTATTTAAGAGCACGGCAACTGTAGCAATCTAAGATTTCTATAAATTGTTTTATTATTTATACCTCAAAAATCCTAAGTAACCTTACGTATTGGCTTTTATGCCTAGCTAATTAAAACTCCCTCAAATCATACAAAGCAATGGTTTTACAATTCACCTGTTAGTGAAAAGATTGGGAAGGAACTTTGCTTTTCTTGAAGAAAAACCTCTAACCATTTTATCCATGCTATATTAAATTTTGCTTTATTGGGCAACATGTTAATAATCATACTGAAATTTCAAGACATTAAAAAAATATATTTTAATGAAGAGAACACCATTAACTCAAGACAACTTCAAAGAGGTTGTGTTACAAAAGGCACCATAAAAATTCCTTCCACATGCTTACTAGGTATTACAATAGAAAAGTAGAGATTCAGTCTCCTGCTGATAAGAGTCAAGCCTAGAATTTCTGTTCCATTTAAAGAGTATCAATTACATTTCACAATAAAAGGTATAACTACATTTTGGTCACTCTATAATGATAGATTCTGCTCCAGAAGAACGTGCCAGCTCACTTCTATTCAAAGTATTTTGGATTCTAATGGCAAATTTCAGTATGCAGAATGTTCTCCTACATTCCACTAAAGAAAAACTAGGACACCTCAAGTCTCAATTTCTTTCTTCCCTGAAGGTTGCTCCGAGGTATTACTTGCACATGAATCACCACAAGTTACTACAACACCATTCAAACCTCTGTGTTCCCATAGCTGCTTAGAAGATTTAACTTCAGAAGTACATTGAACAGTGCCATTAACCCTTACAAATAGATAAAACTCCTATAAAAATGCCACCACACAACTGCTTTTTACCAGAGGCAGAAGTAGAGATGCACCAGCATGGCCCCTCTGGGTTCACAACAGCTCATGGCTCTGTATCCCCCTCAAAGAACAAATTTTAAAGAGCATCTTTTTCACCTGCCTGTAATCCTTCATAATAGGAGCACTAGAAATAGGAAACAAATTTATTCCCCGTTTCTACACTAAAACGAACCAATCTATTAAATGATGTTAAAAACTAATAGCTACTTCATGCCCCTAGACTATATCTAGCTTTCAACAGATAAATATTTACGAGAAACAGATGACTGCCAAGAGAAACTACTTGGGCACGTGACAATGAATAACGGGATCTGTCTATTCCTCTGCATGCCTACACATTTTAAAATCTAATTATAGAGCTCTATTTAAAAGTAAACATCTTGAACAGATGTACCAACCTAGAAAATTATGCAAAATCCTCCTCCTGAATGCTGTAGACAAAACAGCAAGGAGATGACTAGTTAAGCCCTTGCTACAACAAAAGTAATTTTTACAGGAAGAGCACCAGATTATTTTTACTGATTCATGTTCTCTTCATAAACTGTAAGCAAATTCAGCTTTAAGTCACCTAACAATGGGAGTTCATTCTATGAAACTACTGTGCTCTGCAAGATCAGTTCTCAGCTTTTAATATTCATCCTACATTTACAACATAGCATGGTGCAGAGCTTCAATGCTAAAGCAGCATGTCCAAAACAAATCCACAAGCCTGAATCCAGCTTCCAAGAACAAGGCAACCAATGCACATTATGCAGCTATTGTAACTCCAGTCTCCACATTTCCAGTTCTATTTTGGCGCAGTAAATAGATCTAATGCCTTCTACATTAACAAGTCTGTAAAAGTTGACTTAACATGAAAAAAATTATTCTGACAAGTTATGAAAAACTAATGTATTGATTCTAGGCTACATCTATTTTCTACTGAGACAGTTCCACAGACAAATCATCCGAACAAGAATCAAGATGAGAAAAAGCCAACACAAAGTGGAAAGAAGAGATGTAGGCTTGCGACGCAGGCAGCACCGTTACTCTACTAGCACACTCATTTAAGTGCCACCAGAGTATCAGAAGGTCTCAGCAGGAATTTTAACCAGAACACCCATTTGCCTTGTCTACAATGAGGCAGTCACGTGCTTCTAGACAGTTCTCCAAAAAGATTGCTAAGATTGTTCTTCAGGCTCTCAGGGTCGGGATATTTTTAACAAGTTTTATTTTTTCAAATACTGTTTTCTTTTAGATCCATCACATAATTATTCATTATTTATAGTGTGACACTACTTAGATCTACACTGAGGTCTTTTTGCACCAGACTGAAAAGCAGATGAAGGTAATACTTGCCCCAGTTATTACTGGGATAAGAAAAAACATTTCTTAAAGGGCCCTTCAACTCCCGTTTCCAGTTAAGCAAGGTCCTTGCGTGTTAAAAAGATAGTTAGGACAGCAGGTACCTCTATTCTCCATTTACAGGAACAGAAAAAGTACAAGAGAAAAAATTGTCTTCAATAGTGCTTGCTACTTTAACTGGCTTATTATCAGAGGCATCCCTTCTAGCAATAAGGAAGTAATTCACTCATACTAAGACACAATGCCAATACTACAGTGCATACTGATGATTTAATATGCTCTAACAGTTTCACAGAAAATCTGAGGAAGAAAAGTAGAAGATGGCAGATAGCATAAACAGATACCAATTGCTCTTGAACTGGGAAAACTATTATGCATGGTTTAATTATAAAAAAAAGTCCACTTAATTTTATTTAAATAACCTGGCATCCGTTTACTAGCAAATGACAGATTAACTCATTGCCTACATAGGCCAAAGCAGTCAGTGCAGAATTTCACACACGATTGAGCTTGAATGGATTCAAACTGGTGACCTAGAAAATAAAAGCTCTGCATAACATTACTGCAAGCAAATAAAGTCCACTGCATACACAATCCAGCAAATCACTTATGTAAGTGACAAGATAACTGAAAATAGTTACCTATGAATGTCTGTTGTGCCTGCGAATTTCCCCCTACCCTTGGGGAACACGAGTGTGGGTAGTTAGATGCATTAGCACCCATTTTCTTCAGTCACTCAGGCATTCCGCCTGCTGGCTCTTCAATGTATAATCCCATAATCCTTTATAAATCTTCAGTCCCAGGTCCAGCATTCTGTTCCCCCATTTCTGAAGAACAAAAACACCAGTAAGTTACTTCATTACTTTTTGCAGTAGGTATTATGTGACTCAGATAAAAGAAACTCAGCCTCCAGCACATAGTAACTTCATAAATTGAAACCTCAAACATTTCCAAGAGATCTTTTTTTTTTTTTTTTTGAAGGATTAAAACCAAGATCAAAAATGTTCCTCACCTCCCCAAAAAATCCAAACCATTCATAAATTAGTTTGATGAAGTGTAACAATGAACTATCAAACTTCTAGGCTATCAAACTTTTAGATAAGAAATGTTTAGGAGCTGGTCTAGACTAGATATGCTCCTTGAACTACACGAAGAAAGCCTTCTCATACAATTATTTCTCATAAATTTTACACATTGTTATAAAAATCCCCAATTGCATTACACTGACTGAAAAAATAGAATAAGCCCATCCCAGTGGAGGTTATACTATGACCACTGCTTTCAGCTGCATGTTAATTTCATATAATTTATGGAGTTCTCATTCAGTTCTACTTTTCAAATTTAGACTAGTACCTAGAAGTAGGTTTATAGTAGTAAAAGTAAGGTGTTTAAGTATTCATCTACCGTGCCATTAGGCATGTGAAAATATTTTAGGAAGTAATTTCTGAGGAAATTTGAGCAAGGATGCATTGCTAAACACACAATAAGCACATTCTAATTTATTCCTATATCAGCAGTGTTAAAATACTAATACTGCAAAATTAAAGTTACCACAATGAAGAACTGCCTACTGTCAGCTGAACATGTGCTCCCACCCAAAACACAAACACACAGGTAAAAGAAAGTGATACAAAGGTAGAGTCTACACTAAGATTTTTTTTTAGACTCCATTCAATATTGTGAACATGTAGCTAAATTCAACCCTGTTGTCACAAGTGTACTTATATTTGCTGCAATCTCCCAACTTTAGCCGCTTTTCTCAGTACAACTCTGGCACGTTAAAGCAGACAAGCACAAGCCAGGCAAGAGCATATGCTTCAAGGAAGTTGCAGCACTGTTCCAGCCTCTCCTCCCTGCTTTAGTCTGCTCATTTCTGGCAGGAGCAGTTCAGAAGAGGGAGGAGCTACTGTGACACGGGAGGTGAGATACGATTCACAGCAGAGGTGCACACCTGGCCTCCCAGTCACACACACAGTATGCAAAGCAGATCCTGGGAAGCAGAAAGTGAGAGACAAGCCAGGAAAGAGAAGGCTGCAAATTGCTGTAGGCACAGGGATGGGGGGAACAAGTCCGCCATAATTCGAAGGTTGGGTACATGAGGAGGAAGAGCAGAGAAGGGTTTGGAAGCCTGGCTTATAGGTGTGGCTGCGTGAAAAGGTGAGACACGGGCACAAGACTGAAACGCTGTGGAAGCATGAGAGAGCACATGATTTCCAACCATCCGACGCCTCCAAACAACGTTCCTAAAATAGGGCCTTGGTATTTGTGGTCTATGGCATCAGACGTTTTCAAAAAGGAACCACAACATCTCACACTAGAGGGGACATAAAGGCACTCACTGCTCTCGAGGGCATGCAGTCTAGGTCTGCGGTACGCAGCCGCAGCCTGCTGATCCCTGCCCGAATTCTGCTAGGGCAGGAGACAACTGCAACAACACTGCAGCTTTCCTGGCTTTAGAGAAGCCAATTTGAGCTAATCTACAAGCTTGCAAATGCAGAGAGGCAGCTCTCACATCTGCCCTCCCTAGCTAGGTGGCAATGTCTCCTCTCACTGCATATAATCTGATGCTTTTCCTTGTCTCTATGCAGATTCAGCTCGCTACACAATGGGAAGCGGAAAAATAAAATACCTTCCCACACTAATACCAAGCCCACTCAGGATGAAGTCAGAACCAGAGCATAAACAAAATGGGCAACATTACACCAGCAAATACCAACAAATCTTCCCAGCAAACACAAGTTGGATCAGTGCAGTCTTAGCCAACGCATGTACTCATTTTCTTCCTTGAGCAGATATAAGATAGCTTTTCTAAGATAACTAAACCTATATGGATACAGACTTCTTTTCCACACATGAAAAGCTATGCTAAGAAAAAAACACTTAATAATTCCATTAGAACAGTGACACTCCAAGTGAACTGTGTACCCATACAGAGTATGTTGATTAAATGTGCTGTCCATTTCCAGATGAAGCTAGTTACACTCCTGTGACTAGTCAGTCAGAAGAAGAGCACTGTCTCAACCTTGTCGTTAGGAACTTGGACAATAAGGTATCCTGAAACTTAGGCAATCATCTTGACAAGAGTCTGCAGTGGCCTACCCAAGACACAGTTGCTGACCCTGGGAATGGAATGAGGTTCCTATGGAAACACCCCAGGATGAAGGACTGTGGGGTACAAATGGTACTTCCACCCCCTCCTCAGGATCACAACAATCGAAGGACTGGCAAGACGCTGCCTGGACCTGGGGCCATAGGGACGCCTTGGACCCACGGTGGTGGCTATTACTCTCCTTCCCCTCTTTACCTTTCCTGTCACTTTTACCTATCGCACACTGCTTTAAGGGCAAACAATAAAGTTCCACTATTTAATTGAAGCAAACTCCCCCCCCCCTCCTTTGGCTTTCTTTTGCACTTCGAGATCGCAGCAAACGAACCTTCACACATCCGCTGAGTAGAGCGGACTGTGACAACTCCGTTCATGCTTTGTGGAGCTAAAAGTCACCTTTCAGTTTGAAGGCCAACTCTGTCACAAATAAAGGCCAGCATCCCAAGTAGATATACCAACAACTTCCCTTTTCTCAGATAAGGTTGATCTTGGTTCATTTGGACAGAGTCCTGGAATTATGTCATTGCTATTCCACTTTTCTGTATTCAGCTGATAATTTGTCTGTTAGATGACTACTAATACTTTTTAGTTCTTTCTGACATAGGAAAGAGCCCAGGAGCTGAGCAAAAGAGGAAAAAAGAAAAAACAGTTGTTTGTTGGGGTGTTGGGGGTTTATTTGTTGGTTTGTGGGTTTTTTTTTTTGTCTTGTTTTCCCTAGCAACCAACAAATAGACACGTCTCAACTTTGAAGCCAATACCTCCCACCTTCTTCAAATTGACAACAAGCACACTCCAGAAGATGGAAGGAATGTGACCAAGGAATATATGCAACTGTTCAGTACCACTAACATTCAATGCTTGAAATTGCAAAACAGCATTTAAATTAACTGAAAAACATAAGCACCATAAAAGTTCCTAAAATAGTCAATATATAAAATAATTTTCTTCAGAGGCTTACCACAAGAAAAGTTACACATTAAGCCCAAGCGACTATCATGCAGAATGAACTTGCTTGCTAAATTTAAAAGATGTAACTTAAGTAAGATAGGACACTGTAAAAATGACTGTAAAAGTGTCATGAAATCTGTAAACAAATATATTCATGTATATAAACTATATATGCATATTATAAATTTATGCATTTATACAAGTAAAACCAAACATGCCAGTAAAACCAAACATGCCAGGATTCAGTGGAGGAGGAATTCAATGCGGAGTAGGCATTGTGGTCAGACATGCAGAGGTGCCAAAACTTCCTGTGTCTCCTTCCAAATGCAACAGCACCCTGCTTGGTCACCTGTGTGCTGTCTGACTTCTTGAGAGCATTTTGTACCTTGCATTCCAACACGCTGTAGTTTATCAGAAAGTGTTTTGTGCCCCGTGGCCCAAAAGTGATCGTAGCTTTAGTTCCACTAATGACCTCAACCTCACATTCCAACCTAAAGTACAAGCTTTGCATTTTTTATTACGTCACTTAACTTCACAAGATAATATTGTTGTCATGGTTACAGGGGCTG